CACACCACTCATGTAGGATTCCTGCCCAAAATGCATAATCTGAATCTGACCAAGAGGAAATTGGCAAATGCAAGTTGAGGGACATCTGCAAAAGAACTGGCCTGAACTCTTAAAAAATGTCAAGGTAAAGAAAGACCACCATGATCACCAACAAAAGACTGAGGCACTCTTCCAGATTACTAAATGCAATGAACTGGGTCCTGGATTAGGAAAAAAATTCTATAAAAAACATTATTGGGACAATTGATGCTATTTGAATATGAACTGTGAATTAAATAATAGTATTGCATAATTGTTAAATTTTAAGATTTGGGTAATTACACCTATTACAATTGGATATGCTGTATTACATAGAAAATATAGGGGCACCTGGGTGGCTCAGTTGGTTAAGCATCCAACTCTTGATTTCAGCTCGAGTCATGATCTCATGGTTTGTGAAATTGAGCTCCTCTTTGGGCTCTGGATTGGTTGTGGAGCCTACTTAAGATTCTCTTTCTCTCTCTCTTCCCCTTCCCTGCTTATTCTCTCTCTCTCTCTCTCATTAAAGAGAAAAAAAATACATAACACAGAATATATACCTAAATATATATGTATATATTCATCATGCCTTTTCTACATATTGTGCATATATTTTTGGGTTTATTGAAAAACTGAGCATAGATTACAGAGTTCCCATATGTGTCCTTTGAACAGTTTCCCTTTTATTAACATCTTTTATTCGTGTGATACATTTGCTACAATTGATGTGTCAATAGTAACATTATTACCAACTGAAGTTCGTAATGTACATTTTAGGGTTTGTTCTTTGTACCATTTGTATGGGTTTTGCCAAATGCATAATGTCATGTATGCACCATTACTGTATTATATAAAATAGTTTTATTGCCTTAAAACTTCCCTATTCTCCACCTGTTCACCTCTCCCTTCTCTTTAATCCTTGCCAATCACAGATCCTTCTACCTCTGTGGTTTTGCTTTTTCCAGAATGTCATGTTTGGAATTATATCACCTGTAGCCTTTTCAAATAGCTTCTTTCACTTAGAAATATGCATGTAGGGGTGCCTGGGTGGCTCAGTTGGTTGACCGTCTGACCTTGATTTTGGCTTAGGTCATGATCCCAAGGTCATGGGATGGAGCCCTGTGTCAGGCTCTCAAGCCCTGGGTTGGGCTCTGCACTGAGTGTGGAGCCTGCTTGAGGTTCTCTCTCTCTCTCTCTCTCTGCTGCTGCTCTCCCCTGCGCTCTCTCTCTCTCTTTCTTTCTCTCTCAAACATTAAAAATATATATATGCATTTAAGTTTCCTATGTGTCTTCTTGTGGCTTGATAGCTCCTTTCTTTTTATCCCTGTATACTATTCCATTGTACAGGTGGGATTTATCTGTTCATTTATCCATTCACTTATTGAAGGATATCTTGGCTGCTTCCAATTTTCGACAACTGTGAAGAAAGCTGCTATAAATATCCATGTGCAGATTTTTGTATGGACCAAAGTTTTCAACTCATTTGAGTACATAACTAAGAGTGCAATTGCTGGCATTATAAGTCTATGTTTGGCTTTGTAAGAAACTACCAAACTTCCTTCCAATCTGGTGGTACCAATTTAATGAGCATGGGAGTCTTGATCTGCTGCATTTCTGACTTGGGCTGGTTCGGTCCTCCTTAAACAACCTGATGGTCCCCTCGCTCCTGAGAGGTCACCATGTTGATGCCCAACTTAGTGCAGTTACCCAGTTGGTATAGTGCACTATACTGCCCAGAATTCCTGGGCTCAAGTGACATTTCTGACTCCAGAGTAGCTGGTACTGCAGGTGTTGGCCACAGGTGCTTCTGGCCTCCAGTACTCATCTTGTGCTTCCACCAGCAATTAATAAGTTTCTATTGCTTCACATTCTCAGCAGCATTTGATGTTCTCAGTTATTATTATTATAATTTTTGAAATTTTAGCCATTCTAGATGATCTGTAGTGGTATCTTGTCTCTCTTTTAATTTGCATTTTCTGTTTTTTCTTTAAATTTTTAAAAATGTTTTATTTATTTCTGAGAGAGAGAAAGTGAGACAGCATGCGCAGGGGAGGGTCAGAAAAAGAGGGAGATACAGAATCTGAAACAGGCTCCAGGCTCTGAGCTAGCTGTCAGCACAGAGCCCGACGTGGGGCTTGAACCCACGAACCGTGAGATCATGACCTAAGCGAAAGTCGGAAGCTTAACCGACTGAGCCACCCAGGCGCCCCGTTAACTTGCATTTTCTTAATGACATATGATGTTGAGCATCTTTTCTTGTGCATATTTCCCATCTGCGTATCTTCTTTGGAAAGTTGTCTAGTTAGATATTTTGCCCATTTGGTTCAGCTCTTTTGTCTGAGGAGTTGCAGTTTTAAATAGTGTGGCCAGAGGTCTCATTGAGACTTCTGAATGCAGATCTGATAGAGTAAGTAAGGGAGGAAGCTATTTGGAACTCTAGGGAAAAGCGTTCCAGGAAGAAGTATAAACCCATGCAAAAGGCCATGAATGAAGGGTGTACTTGGTATGTTCTATGTTGGCAAGAGGCCAGTGTGGTGTAAGGAAGTGGCCAGGGGAGAGATGAGCAGGTAAGACCAGAGGGACCAGAGGGTATGGCTGTTGTGGCTTGTGAACCACAAGATTTTGCCTTCATGCTGAGTGAGACCGGAGCTAGACGATCTTAAGCAGAAACTGATGTAATCTGACTTCTGTTTAATAAGCTCCTTCTACTTGCTGTGTTGAAAGCAGACTGGGGGCATTCAAAAGTTGAATTCAAAAGCTGCCACTCTGTGAATAGAGCTTTCACACTATTCTTATTTTTAAAAATAATTTATTTATGTTTTAATTTACATCCAAGTTAGTTAGCATATAGTGCAACAATGATTTCAGGAGTAGATTCCTTAATGCCACTTACCCATTTAGTCTATCCCCCCCCTCTCCCATAACCCCTCCAGCAACCCTCTGTTTGTTCTCCATATATGAGTCTCTTATGTTTTGTCCCCCTCCCTGTTTTTAGATTATTTTTGCTTCCCTTCCCTTATGTTCATCTGTTTTGTATCTTAAAGTTCTCAAATGAGTGAAGTCATATGATATTTGTCTTTCCCTGACTAATTTCGCTTAGCATAATGTCCTCTAGTTCCATCCATGTTGTTGCAAATGGCAAGATTTCATTCTTTTTGATTGCACAGTAATACCCCATTGTATATATACATATACCACATCTTCTTTATCCATTCATCCATCGATGGACATTTGGACTCTTTCCATACTTTAACTATCATTGATAGTGCTGTTATAAACATTGGTGTGCATGTGCCCCTTTGAAACAACTTACCTGTAACCCTTGGATAAAGACCTAGTAGTGCAATTGCTGGGTGTTAGGGTAGTTCTATTTTTATTCTATTTTCTAATCTCATACTCTCATAAATTTTGCCTCCTGCTCATTTTGTGTCCACCTCTTCATTCTTCAGAGCTGCAAGACAATCAGCTCTGGGTACTGAGCAGGCTCCACACTGGGGATGCAACCCAATGCAGGTCTTGAATTCACCACATTGAGACCAAGACCTGAGATGAGATCAAGAGTTCAGTCTTCACCAACTGAGCCACCCAGGTGCCCCATCACCATGCTCACTTCTTCTTTTTCAATTTTTAATCATTTTTGATGGGGGAGAAGGGCAGAGAGAAAGGGAGACACAAAATTTGAAGCAAGCTCCAGGCTCTGAGCTGTCAGCACAGAGCCTGATGTGGGGCTCAAACCCACAAACCATGAGGCCATAACCTGAGCTGAAGTCAAATGTTTAACCAACTGAACCACCCAGGTTCCCCCTTTCTTTCCTTCCTTCCTTCCTTTCTTTCTTTCTTTCTTTCTTTCTTTCTTTCTTTCTTTCTTTCTTTCTTTCTTTCTTTCTTTTACTATACTCACTTCTAATTGCCTCAAATGTATTTATCCTTTCAAGTTATAATTGCTACACAATCTCTGTTCTCCACTGGCTTCTTGGGAGAAAACAAAATGCCAATATTTTGTCATAATATTTTAACTCTTTTAGATATTTAGCGTTCTTTCAATATTTGTATTCTCATTTCAAACTCCAAAATATTTTTTTCTCTTCTGCCAATTCCCCATATAAAATATCAAATTTAATTTACATTTCTGGTGAGTCTGTTGTAATTTTGATCCAATAGTATTTTAAAAATACATTGATTTCAAAAATATTCAGAAACTGTTATAATGAACAGAGGTAGCAGAAAAGTCTACGCATGATAATCAGGATGCATACTAGAGGAAACACTCCAAATATAAGAAAAACAGTGTAGAGATGCAAGTACAGATTTGCACTACTTTTAAGGTCTTTGGGATGACATAGTTTTTTTCCTGAAGTCTATGGCAAGCTACAAAATGTTTATTAGTGAGAAAATGGCATAATTTTTTCACGTAAGGGTTCTCACATTTCATAGCCTCTACCTATGTATTTTACTTTTTTTTTAAGTTTTTTTTTAATTTATTTTTGAGACGGAGAGAGACAGAGCATGAGTGGAAAAGGGGCAGAAAGAGAGGGAGACACAGAATCTGAAATAGGCTCCAGGCTCTGAGCTGTCATCACAGAGCCTGGCACAGGGTTTGAACCCACGAACCGTGAGTTCATGACCTGAACCGAAGTTGGACACTTAACCAACTGAGCCACTCAGGTGCCCCTGTAGTTTACTTATATAAACAGATCAATAAATAAGCTCTGAAAACTAAACATAAAAGAAAAACAACCCCCCCCCCAAAAAAAAAACAAGCAGAACAAAAGCAGGAAGACACAAAAGTAGAGATTGGTTAGGAGATTGTTGCCAAAATGGCCAAGAGGTGATGGTGACACTGCCCTGGGGTGGTATTGATAGGTAGGATGAGAAATGATTGAGTTCTGCACATATTTGGAAGATAAGGGATTTACTGCTGGGTTGGATGTGGAGGTGTGAGAGACAAAAATGGAGGACAGCTCTATTCAAAGATAAACAGTCTGCAGCTAATTAAGCCAACTGTGCTCTTTCCCCATGGGGGCCTCATGTGCCGTGGCCACAGACAGTAGTCCCCTCGGTAATGTATGCAGCCTGTTGCTTGTTGGGGTTGCCCTAAGGGACCTTGGAAGACAGCCCTTTGCAGTGGACATTCATGTCTGACCTCATGCTATCCCCAATTAGGCTCTAAACAGGTAAGCAAGGTGACTTTGGAAAGGCCCAGGGTACAGTGGCCAGGGTTCACATTGGCAGAGTCATCGTGTCCATCATGCCGTCGTGTCCATCATGCCAGCCTGCAGAAAAGGGAGCATGGAACTAAGGCCCTCTACAGGGCCAAGTTCAGGTTCCCTGGCTGCCAGAAGATCCACATCTCCAAGAAGCAGGGAGAAATTAAAAAACATGGTGGCTGAAAAGTGGCTCATCCCAGATGGCTATGGCTTCAAATACATAGGGTTCAAATACATCCCTAACTGTGGCCCCCTGGACAAATGGTGGGCCCTGCACTCATGACTAACTTGGTGCTGCCCCCTCCTTATTCATGCCAATTGATGAATCCTACTTTCTGTCAACACCAGCAACCATAACAAAAATAAACTGAGGTCTATTAAAATTTTAAGAGTTTATTTGAGCAAACATTGATTTGAATCAGGCAGTGCCAAACTGGAAGTAGTTAGGAGCACCCTACTGGGGGGAACTAGGGGAAAGCTTTTCACAGAGAAGCAAAACAAGGGAATGATTTCATTGGCTATGACTTACGAGATGATTTGTTTGGGAAAGCCTGGTTGGCTGTTTGTGACAGGTTGTTCTTCTGAACCTTGAGGCGTCTGCAGGACTGACTCTGGTTTAGGTTTCAGTTTGCTTATGTAGGTAGGCTACCAACGCATCAGAGCCACCTCAGTGAAGTGACCTTCTTGTGGGGCTACTTTAACAGTTCTGAATTTGTTTCATTTTTCCCCCTAAACAACTGAAGAATAGCATTGATCACACTCTGTCATCCTAGATCTGCATAAGGCCCCCTTTTTCCTCTTTATTTCTGATCCCATATTCCTCACGGACATCCACCAATATGCTGGAGACTTATATAATATAATATATAATTAATATATGTAATTATATATATATAATAATTTATATATTGTTTAGAGTGTTTTACATTTACATTGGCTCCACGCTATCAATTTTATTTTGTTTATCACACCTTTTCCACTTGACGGTATGTCTTTGGAGCTAACCACATAGCTAAATGTACATCTGCTTCATTAATTCTGGCTGCTGCTTAGTTATACACTGACTGAGTACATTTCACCCGATAGGGTTCTGTCCCTGACTACCAGCCCTCAGCTTACTCCCTGACACTGCAAACGGCACCAAGAGGCACGCCTTCATACAGATTCCAATAAAGACCTGCATGCAAGTGTCTGTGGAGTGTATTCCTAAGAGTGCGATTGTTGGGACATAATTAGTTGCATAATTACTAGTTGCATCTTTTACTGTTGCTGACCAATAGCCCTTGAGGTAACCCTTCCCCTACACTCTTACCAATTCTTGATATTAAACTTCTAATTTTTGTACAGGAGTATCTCATTGTTATTTTAACTGCACTATATGATTACTAGAGAGCTTAAACATCCTTTCATAGATTTCTTAGGCGTTCATATTCTTCCTTCTGTGATTTGTCTACTCTAACTCTTTGTCCATTTTTCTATTGGATTTCCTGCCCCTTGTTGATACATTAGAGGTTCTCTTTCTATTCTACATATGAATTCCTTGAGATTTAGAGGTGGCAAATATATTTTTCTAGGTTGTAACTCGTTTCTTAACTTTCTCTATGATGTCCTTCTTTCAAAAGAAGACCAATTTTTGTATACCGAAATCTACACATTTCTCCTTGGATTGTTTGTGGTTTTGAGGGTTTCCTTACTAATTCCTCCAATTCAAGGTCACAGAGATATTCTTCTATGCTTGCCCTATCTTTATTGGTTTCCATTTCAGAGTAAAGTGTCTAATCCAGGGGGGCCTGGGTGGCTCAGTCGGTTAGCCATACCATTCTTGATTTCAGCTCAGGTCCTGATCTCATGGTTCTTGAGTCTGAGCCTCATATCAGGCTTTGTGCTGAAAGTGTGGAGTCTGCTTGAGATTCTCTCTCTCTCTCTCTGCCCATCCCTGTTCATGCTCCCTCTCTCTCAAAATAAATAAATAAATACAGGTTAAGATATCTACTCTATTACAGTCAACATTTCTATATGGTATCAGGTAGAATTCTAACTGGCTTTTTCTCCACGGAGCAAGACATCACTTCTGGCATCAATGTGTAAATAATCTATCTTTTCTTCATTGTTAGAGACATCACCTCTTATTGTATATGAAGTCTCCATGTACATGTAGGTGTGTTTCTAGATCCCTATTTTATTCCATTGATCTGTTATTCCTGGACAAGCAGTAAATTATTTTCATTGCTGTGGCTTTGTGATATATCTTAATATCTGGTAAGAAAAATTCTCCATCTTTGCTCCTTTTCAAAATTGCCTTAGCTACTTGTGACTTAGCTATTCTTTTATTTAAAATATTTTAATGTTTATTTATTTGTAAGAAAGAGAGAGAGACAGAACACGAGCAGGGGAGGGGCAGAGAAAAAGAGGGAGATACAGAGTCTGAAGCAGCCTCCAGGTTCTGAGCTAGCTGTCAGCACAGAGCCCCATGTGAGGCTTGAACCCACAAGCCATGAGATCATGACCTGGGCTGAAGTTGGATGCTTACCCAACTGAGGCACCCAGGTGCCCCTGTGTCTAAGCTATTCTTTGTATTTTTTAGAATCAAATTTGTCATGTTTCTCTCAAAATTGTGTTGGAATTTTAACTAAAAATGTACAGTAGGCATGTTATTTTTAGAAAAAATTTATAGGTTTCTTGTTTTTGTTAAATCTTTATTTATTTTGAGGGAGAGAGAGTGTGTGAGAGAGATCACACAAGTGGGAAAGGGGCAGAGAGAAAGGGAGAGAGAGGATCCCAGGTAGGCTTACTTTGTCAGTGCAGATGGGGCTCAATGTCACGAGCTTGTGAGATAATGACCTGAGCCAAAATCAAGAGTCAGTTGCTTAACCGACTGAACTACTCAGATGCCCCAGAATTATAGATTTCTACTGGCAAGTTATTCCATAGGAATATGGTATTCTATATTTTCTGGCCCTCTTTTATGCTTTAAGACTTGAGTATGGCAATCACCTCAGAGATATTTAAAGAAACATTTATGAGTGTAGTGAATGTTTGGAAACTACCTGTCCAATGATAAAGGAAGGATTTAAAAAATTGCCAATGGTTTGATAATGCATTAATAGAACATTGCATCAATTAAAAAACATACTTTTAATGAATCTTTAATGACATGAAAAAATATTCTTGCTATATTATTGCATTTTTAGTTAGCAAGGTTACACAGACTTCTATTGTCTTTATTACATACTTTTGGGTTCCAAATTCTCTAAAATGAACATGCTTTATTTTTGTGATAACTGTTTTTTTCTTTTATTTTTCTTTATTATTTTTTAATGTTTATTTATTATTTTTTAAAAAATATTTTTATTTATTTCTAGGAGAGAGAGAGAGAGAGACAGCGTGAGCAGGGGAGGGTCAGAGAGAGAGGGAGACACAGACTCTGAAATAGGCTCCAGGCTCTGAGCTGGCAGTCAGCACAGAGCCCGACGCGGGGCTCGAACCCACGAACCGCGAGATCATGACCTAAGCGAAAGTCGGACGCTTAACCGACTCCAGGCTCTGAGCTGGCAGTCAGCACAGAGCCCGACGCGGGGCTCGAACCCACGAACCGCGAGATCATGACCTAAGCGAAAGTCGGACGCTTAACCGACTAAGCCACCAAGGCGCCCCTATTTATTTATTTTGAAAGAGAGAGAGACAGAGAGAGAGAGTGCCAAGCGAGCGCTGGTGGGGGAGGGACCAAGAGCAAGGGAGAAAGAATCCCTCTTGAGCCTCAGGGCTCAATCTCTTGAGATCATGAACTGAGCAGAAATCAAGTCAGATGTCCAACCAACGGAGCCACCCAGGTGCCTGTTTTTTGTTTTTTGTTTTTTTCTTCGAAAAAATTGTTGGAAACAACTAAGGTTTGATTTGCCATCTGACTCTGCAGGGACATGGAGAAAATGGTGTTTGACTCATCTGATGAGCTCATCCAGCAAGAAACTATAACTCATGTGAAAATTTCCCAGTTTGACCCCCTGCCTGCTCCATCTGCTGGCCAGTTTGTCAGGCTGCCTGACTCAGCTAAGCCTGAATAAATGTAATTTCACACATTTCCTTTTTCACGCAACAAATATTTAATAGTCTACTGCTATATGCAAAGCACTCTATTAGAGCCATTGAAGACAAAGGGATGAGTTAAATAGCCTTAGCCCTCAAGGGGCTCAGCGTGGCATATACACACCGGAGGGTCTGCCTGATGGTCAGGTCCACCCTCTGTGCCAACTTTCGAGTCTTCTGTGCTCTAGGCAAGCCAGACTTTTTTCACTTTCTCTGTGCCGTTCCATCATTTGGAATTTCTTTCCTTCTTATAACCTATAAACCTGCTACTTATTCCTTACACATCTGGGAGAACTTCTCGGGCCCTCCCACTTTCTCTGACATTCTTCCAGCACTTACAATGTGGCTCACACTTGGCACATTTTTGGTGCATTCTTATCTGTTTAGTCATTTTTCCTAAAGCAAAGCTGGAGGCATGCTTGTTTTCTGCATTAAATACTGACTTTTGGGTTGTAATGGACAGGAAAAATGGAAATTCAGTATGTATATTTTAGAACAACACACCCCACAATACCATTATCTTGTGATATTTCAGCAGAGAGGGAGATTAAGGGGAAAAAAAAGTAAAGGACCACACTGGTGATAGATCGTCAGTGTCTTCTGAAAAGTTTTAATCAAAGAGATTGTCTGATAGGTTTTGCTGAAGCTGTGGGGATATTTATTAGGGGATTAATAGACCTTCATAACCCAGAGACCAAAAGAGTTGTTCTATCAGGAGCTGGGGCTCAGCACTGTCCCTGTGGCCCCTGCCTTGGGCTCCATCCCCTTGGGGAAGGTGTGTCTAATTCTGATTCGCACAGGACTCCTTCCAAGTCTTGAGCTTTGCT